AAACTTCAGGTTTTTCCTATTCCGACTTGGTTTTTGATAATCTTTCATCCAATTCGTTCCTAGGCCTTTATATACTTGTTTTCAGCCATTGTTTAGGCAACCCTTTTCTTTTACATTCATATTTTTAGGTTTTATGCTTTGTAAGCTTGGGGAGAAGAATCTCTACATCTTTTGAGAAGATTTCTGAACCCGCTTGGATTTTTTATTTATTGATTATGAATTTCTCTTTATCTCCTTGCTGTTTCTCTGCTTCCATGTCTGAGTAGTTTCATAGTTAGGTTTAGGGTTTTCAAAGGATTCATGAATCATTGAACTAGACATAAATAGGGTTATTCATCTGTTGTCTTCACCTATTGTTGTTCTCATTGCCTAGATTAATTTGATCACTTAATCTCTGATTTAGGTTTTAATCTATTCATGAAAGTGTTTTAGATTTCTTGATAGAACATAAGTGAGCAGATTGTCCTTAGCCAACGAAAGTTGATGTTAAGGCAATCTGTGAACAAATCGAACATGTTCATTTATGCTTGTATAGAATTTTAAGTTCAGACAAAAGTTTGGATACTTAGGTTGCTAGACAAAGTCTTTGATGCCACAAAAGTGGATTAATTATACATTTATGTTTGAGTTCTAGATTTTTCTATATACTGCCATGAATAATTGTGGTTCATGATCTCTGAATTCCTGCGAAATAACTAGACCTAGCGCTTTCTTTTACTGTCTTTAAACTGCTTTATTTGCTATTTTTGTTTTACATTACGTTCAACAATCCATATTCTTGTGTTAGCTTAATTTCTTTCATTAAGATTTTCAGTGTGACACTTGGTCCTTGTGAATTCGATTCCTACTTTACTACATCACTTGATGTGCATATGCAGTAATTCTATAAAGTTAACACTCTTCAGCTATTAAAATGTACTATCAATGTAGATTTTTTTTTGTAGTGTTTCATGTAGCATTTCAAAAGGCTTGTTTCCTAATTCCCATGTAGAATTTCTTTCATGTCTGTTACCCTCTGGAAATAGTATGTTTGCTTGAACATCAACATACAATCATGAGTAACTGTTATAAGTCAGTATTATCCCCCAACTAATATTATACCATCAATATACAATCGTGAGCAACTGTTATATGTTGACTCCAACTTCCGTTACCTCTTCAAGGTTTCCTCCACTTTCGCTGGCTTTGATTCTCCTTCATGATTCTCTCTTCTTCTCTTTTGCTTTATTGGGTTTTCTTTTCCTTGTTTCGTTTACTTGCGTATATGATTAAGGCTTCTTCTCCATTGCTTTGGTCTTAAAACATTGGATTATTTTTGGTTGCTCTCATGGTGCTTGTAGGATTAAGTAAAGCTTTGTAGAATATTGGTATACCGCAGTGTGTGTGCAACTAACCGACCATAAACAGACTAATTTTGTTGTGGTTAACTTGAGCATGAACGAGTATGCGGTTTAAATTAGTGTTTTAGCATTTTCAGTTAAAGGGTTTTCCGTTATATTGTCTAATAGAAGAAATTAGTTTATGCACATAAAAGGAAAATAATGAAAGGAAAAAAAACAAGAATGAATGAGAATGAAATAAATAAAAATAATAATAAATAAATATATTTTGTTCTTATCCAAATTTGATAAGGAATAGTTTTATTCTATAATTTTGTTTTTAGAATAGGGATTGGTAAAGAATGATGTGGAAACAAATTCCTAATAAATGATAAATAATTAAGGAATGAAAAGGATTAATAAATTCATTTTCATTCCTTGGAGAAATTGCTAAAAATAACCTAAAACTTAATTATTTCTCCAAAATTAGATCCCTTATTGCATATTTGGCAAAACTAACTCACAAGAATAGTAAAATTATAATCCTAACTCTTATGACCAAACAAAAAAATATCAGCCACAATGACAGTTTTATCCTCGAGAATTCTACTCTATAATAATTTTTTTAAATTAAATAAAAGTCATAAAAATATTGATAAAAAATTAGATACATAACCAAAACATATACATTTTACATTAGTTAAAAATAAAATTTGATACAAAAGAATCAATTTAAATCAACATAGGCAAATTATGTTATAAACCAATACAATCTAAGAAGTCTACTAGAGAAGTTTACTCAATCACTAAATCTTAAATATTAATAATAAAAATTATAAAAAATAATTTGGTAAAAAAAAGTATATACACAAATAAAACATAGACAATTAGCATCTATATAAAATAAATTTTCATAAAAATAAATCAGTTTATAAGTTTCATGAGTATATATTTCAAAAGGGTTAGAGTTGAGGTTTAAAGATTAGGGTTTAAGAGTGTAATCGTTAGGGTTTGCACAAATTCTATATGAATCGTACTCTATGGTCCGGTTATTGAATCAGAGTTCATATCTTTATTATTTTAACTCTGAGTTGTTAATATGGTAAGTAAATTAATGTTTTCATATTAGTTTTCATCGAAAAATTTGATTTACAGTTTAGAGTTAATTAGACTTCTTTAGTAGACTTCTCAAGTAGACTTCTTGGACCGAAGTAGACTTCTCAAGTAGACTTTCTTGAGAAGTCTGAAATTCAAAAAAACATAGCGGGAAATCAAAATTATTTAACAAATTGAGCAGGAACCGAAACATATCAGACATAGTTTGTTGGTAATTGATCAATTTCACCGGTTAAGCAGACTTCTCCAGAAGACTTTCGAGTATACTTCTCAAGTAAAAAATAAGACTTCTCCAGTAGACTTCATTTGAAGACTTCAAAAAGAAGTCTCCTTAACCGAAAATTATCCTGCATAAATAAGGAGAGTTTAACCTAGTTGTGTTAAAAATAAAATTTCTCTCTCTCTCTCTCCCTCTCAAACAATGCCTCTCTCTCTCCTCTCCCTTTTCTTTGGTCATGAATCTCTTCGCCTTCCTCCCTTGCCGTCAATCTCATCTCCATCCTCTCTATATTGCTTTCAACCTCCTCTCACTTGCTAGTTATGGTAGTGGTAAGCAAATTTGAGCTTTTATGTTCATCTTTTTATTTGGTTTGGTTTATGTTCATATTGCAAATCTGAGGCTTATTATTACAAACTTGAGTTTATTGTTGTAGATTTGAGTTTATTTTTACAGATCTGAGATTATTGTGGTATAAATTTTGTAGATGTTGTTGTAAATCTGAATTTTGTTGCAAATCTGAATTTTGTTGTAGATCTGAATTTTATGTTGGTCTTAGAAAGCTAAATTTTTTTGCAGATATGAATTTTGTAAGTAAATTTTGTAGCAAATCTGAATTTCATCATTTCTCTTTTCTTATTGTTTCAGATTTAAGCTTATATTTCTAGTTTTGTTCTACAGATCTCAATAAAACTCTTGTTTGTCTCTACCGGATTTAAGTGATTTCAAAGTTCAAAACGGTAATTATATGGCGCTATTAGTCAGAATCAGACTTCAGTCGCACACTTCAGCCACAAACTTCAGCCGCATACTTCTTGAGCAGATTTCTCGAGCAGACTTCTCAAGCAGACTTCTCGAGCACACTTCTCGAGCATAATTCTCGAGTAAACTTCAGACGCAGATTTCTCGAGCAGACTTCTCGAGTAGACTTCAGTCGCATACTTCTCGAGTAGACTTCAGTCGCAGACTTCTTGAGTAGACTTCTCGAGCAGACTTCTTGAGCAGACTTCAGTCGCAAACATCTTTTTCAAAAAAATTAGTTTAAGATAGATTTCCTATGCAAATTTTAATATTTATAATCAGTGACCCTCAAATATTTGTTTGTTTAGAGGGTCTACTTTATATCTAATGTTGGATTGCATTGAATATTTTGTATCATATTCCCAAATTATGTGTGTTTATGTATTCTGTAAAATAGACTTCACTGTCAGATTTCATATGCAGACTTCTCAATTAGACTTATCTAGTAGACTTCACAAGTATACTTATATTACATAACATAGGATTTATCTCCATAGATTTATATTACATAATAGACTTCTTACATAGACTTCTGAAGTAAACTTATAAGCTTATGAAAGAGATAATGAGCTATTTAAGCTCAAAAATAGTTTTTTGGTGCAATTAAAGCTTGAAATTGGTTGAAAATAATGGTTGGGTGAATTGATGATGATGACATTTTCGTAAATAAATGAGAAATATGTGGATTACTTGGTCAATTGGATATCCAAAAATAAAAGAAATTAATTTGAAATAATGGCAATTTCGTGAATAAATGAAACTGAAAATGATTGTTTAAACAGAAAAATAGTTAATATTAAAAGGGTGAATTTTACGGGTTATATTTGCAATTGAATTCAATTTTTGAATTATTTTTGCAATTCTTCCTCGTTCCTTTTATCACCAGTTATACCCAAAATTTTGTGTTTACCTACCAATTCAATGAAATGTGAACCAAACCGAAATATTTCCTGATTCTTTTTATGTGAATGTGTTTTATACGTTTGTACAATTTTGTCATTGTAAACCAAATGAAACTTTGTTATAAACGAATCTCCTTTTTGCAAGTCAAAATGAATCTCATCTACTTAAAGAAATACACTTGTAATACATATTTCAAGGGAAGTCGTGTCTATGACTTTAAAAATCCTAGACAAAAGAAACAAAGTTCTACTACTTCTATAAGAAAAAAGAAATAGAAAAAATCCAAATTAATTGCAGAATATTTAAAAGGAAAAATGTAACAATGCAACATTGTTATCTAAGTATATGTAATTTACAATGTCATCAGTAACCTCACAAAAATAACGATAACTTCAAACATTCGTAATGTAGTTGTAGAATTTATAAATTCGGCTCGTTGTTATGAATCTCTATTAAATGCAAGAGATGAGATACATTATGAATTAACTAATACAGTAGTTTGTTTTAACAAGTATTCAAATACTAATTTCTATTGAAATATCAATCCAAATGTAAATTTAGCCTCACATAATAAGTTTTCTAATGATCTCTAAACTTCTAATTAAACCCTACATTTATTTCATTACCAACATTATATCTCTTCCTCACTTTCCTTCAATCTCATCACGTTTCAGTTTGATTGGTATCGATATCTCTTGCAATATCGGTGGTTGTTCACTCGAAAATCTGAAATCAGAAATAACTTCTGACTGAATCGGGCTCTCGCCAGAATCTACATCACGGTTACTATTGTCACTGTTTTCATCGGTTATTGGCGTTTGGTTTCTCTTCCTCTTCTCTCTAACCCTACCATGCCATTGCCTTAACACATTTGTTATTTGTTCTTCTAAGATTGCTCTCTTGTAACTTGATCCCATCTATACACATCAAAGTCAGATTCAGATCATATTATATAAACAATAACGAATGTAGCAAAAAAAAAAACGTTCATTATAAATGGTTTGACTATTTAATTTAAATGTTTATATATATATAATTTACCTGAGTTACAAGGGCATAGAGAGGTAGTGTAACGTAGCTGCTCAATATCTGGACCGTAACCCTATAAGTTATATAATTATCAATGACTTAATTTACTTTACAAACCATAAATTCGAAGAAAATGAAATAAATATGTGGATTAAAAGAAAGAAATTGGTAAATATTACAAAGGTGTGCTTACGCTAATACGAGTCGTGTGATGACGACCTCTCGGTCTTCATGGTAGCAAGAGTTAATCCCAAATTTCCACTAAATTTCAATATTAATAACAAAAATGAAATGCATTAGATATATCAATTTTTTTATTTCCTAATTATGTCTCGATACTATAAAATTAGTATGTTAAATCCAAATGAAACTAAAGAATGAACTTACAGTGATCCACAAAAAAAATGCCAACTCGAAGGTGTTCTGTATCAATGTTACACCAACAATTAATCCATTTTTGTTATTATAAACAATGTTGAAATTCTGATAAATCATGAGAATAGATAACATGTTGTGTAGAAAGGACTACCAGAAACAACGTGTAGTGTAGAATGGTTAAGAGCAACCGAGGAGCGCAAAACCAGAAATGCTTGTCGTTTGGCTCAACGAGAGGGCTTCCTCTAATCACACTGTTTTGATCCTTTATTGTGACCGCCATTTTCGTCACTATCACTTCTAGTTTCGTCCCGATCACCAGAACCATCTATAAATCACAATTGATTCATAAATTATCTGAGTTACACAAATTGTTAATAGTATAGAGTTTTAGTTAGCTCTTACAATTAGTGGCACAAATGACATCCAAAAATATACTCTCCAACCTGATGATTAAGATAAGAGAAAGAGAATGTGAAAAATTAAACAAAAGTTGTATCTGTTTTAATTAAAACAATAAATAACTAATAGTATTATTTACCACGAACGTCGAGAAGCATAAAGATGACCACGATTAGCCACATTAAGGGACTGTCATAAATAAAATAAAATAAACATTTGTAATGCTTCGAAAGATAATACCATTATCACTCAAATACAAATCTGCAAATTCATTTACCTGATACCAACCACAGTTTTGAAATCTTCATGTAAAGATCTCTGTATATACTTTTGGAAGTTGAAAGAATTATTGGACGATAGATGAGCCTGCATTATTATGTATTATCATATTAATTTAAAATCTATTTATTTATTTATTTATTAATTTATATATATACATCTTAAATATTCATTGAAAAACATTGAGTTACTAACAAATATAAATCCATGACGGAGTGTGAGGTAGTCGACTTTCGCCACCGAGTTGAAAAATTGCCTGAAGAAACATTTCTAAGAAAAACAAACTTGATTATTCCTATAGTTAAGGTATATGCTGATAAAGTAATTAAGAAATGAGAAGAACATGTACGAACTTACAATCCAAAGTTGAATCGATGTTTCGCTGAAAACACTCAGGTGTCGTCGAGCAAATGTGGTTTCTCTTGTTATTCTGAACCTATTTGGATCTTTAAGTTGCACAAATTATTAGTTAACCAAACTGAAGTTCATTGGGTATTATTGATACTGCATGTATCACTTGTCGTTTACTAATAGCAAATACAAAAATCTCACCGCTTGCTGCTAAATAGTCTACCGTTTGGGTCTCCCTCTCCCACGAATTCCATCGCCTCATCTATATGCATTACGTATGAAAGTTTATATGTAAACAATTCACTAAATACTATCACACAATTTAGTATATTATAAACCAAAAAAATCATTTTAACTATGGCCTTGTCTATATGTAAACAACTTTTTTAACAACTCTTTTTCAAGAAAACTGTTTTATTTAAACCGTCGTTGTCTCATCTAAAAGTTAGTATTTTAGTAAACACACAAAAAAAAATCGAAAGCTAATTTATTAAGTTTAGTCAATATAGTAAGAATTATTGTTAATGAGATTAGAAGATTATAAACATAAAAAATGAAATTAATAACTCCTATGTAAATGTGTTTTACCAAAAAGGGCAAAGCTTATTTAATTAATAATTTGTTACTGACTACATTTTTAATAGGAAAATTATAGTATAAATTTCCTTCTTTATGGCATATATTTTACTTACACAATATTTTTCATTCTAAAGATTATGTATGATAATTTGTATTTCCAATTTGAATAATTTGCATTCTAAAGATTATGTGTAATATAATTTGTATTTCCAATTTGAAGTCACTGAAATATAATTGCCGAAAAAGGCTAACTATATATATATATCTGTGTGTATGTGTGTGTGTGCGCGCGCATGTGTGTTAAATTTTCTATCTAAAAATTATTATATGTATTTTAGTTTATGTTACAGAAAAAGACTTCCTGAAAAAAATATCAAATAACAGAAAAAGCATAAAATATGATACTATAACATTTCATCGCACAATTTTCATCAAATTTTGTTTTCACAACAGTACTACAAATAAGTGTATTTTTTTCTACATACAAATAATTCAGTATATAAAACTTTACCTTGACCATTCCAAGGAGAAGAGTGGCAAGATTGAAGAGAATATGCATGCATGCCAACACAAAGAAGAAGAAACTCAACTGAGTCAACCCTTCTTGTGATACGAGTGACGTTTTCCCCTGAAAAATAAATTTTATTAGATCGGATTAGCTAGTTCGAACTAATTAATTATGCGTTAAAGCCTAGTACCTCGTAAGCAAAAAAATATTAATATAAGTCTTACTAGAGTGTATTTTGATCGTAACTCAATATTTTATTTAATTGATTTCTTTACAAACATTTAAAGACGAGAATTCGTCACGCAAAACAGTCAATATCCATGAATCATGATAGATTAGCATTACAAAAAAAAATATTAGCAGATTATTCTTTGACTCACGTTGACGTACGTCCATGTCAACAGCAACTTAGATCATTTGACAAAAAAAAATTGAACTAATAAATCATCATTTGACATTTTAGAACCTATGTTAAAAAAAAATTGTGATTTAGAATTTTGTAGTGTTTAAGCATCTATAAATGTAAATGATTAAAACTCTGATTTATAAATACTAGAAGATGGTAGAACTGTGTGCAATAGATAGTGGATTCTTCTAAAGCTCCACTGCTAATTAAAATCTTAAAATCTTCTTAATTTTGGAGCTTATATTTGTGTATACTACTCTTATATGTGATATATATCCACTTTAGATTAGAGATACTTGAAACTAGAATTGAAAAAAATGATGCATGGTAAGGGTCAAGCAGAACCTTGGAGCAACGATGAACGAAGTTGTTGTCGTGATCATTATCATCTTCATCATCAAGTAATGTTTTGCTTTTATGGCAAGGCAACATTCGATTCGCATACTTTGTGGGAATGCATATCTTTGAAACTTCTCCTTCGGTCACATTTAGCATCAGTGACATGAATCCTAGCACCATTAGAACTGCGTCCCATACATACCATTGAATATTCAGTATTTTTATCGATTAAAGAAATTTCAATTGAGTGTCAAATCTCAAAGTAATAACCATAACAAAAGTTAACCAATAAATGAATTTGCTCCATAGGATAGAGTTTAACCCGATTTGAGCTTTTCTACAGCTTCAAGTAACGATTTGTTTCTGTTTTTCTCAAGTCTCTGCAAGAAAAAGGGACAAAAAAATAATAACAGTCCATCTTCAGGACCAACCTGAAATAGTTGACGCACAAACAAAATACTAAAAGGGGCATATACTTTAGATAGTAAGTTTTTTTTTGTATTCATGTGTTTCTTATTTCGTAGAGACCATAACTATCGAGCACTCAACAATTTTTGAAATATACAATTGAGATATTAATTACACTATTTAGAACAAATGTAAACTGTGTTAGTGAATAGTGATAACAAAAAAAGGTAACAAAACAAAAACCTTCTAAGAGATTAGTGAAAACGAAACCAGAATTTGTACAAAAGAAATATATTGAATCATACTTCTGTAGACAAATTATGTTTTGTCTTCACTAATTTACATACAATTTTTTGAACTTACAGTGTAGAGAAGATTAATAAGACGCTCTATAAAAATGGAAACAGCGATGAAAAAGAAACAAACGGTGGCCAGAGCCCAAGTGGGAGTCTGTTCGAGAGTTCGGACGGCGGCAACCTCCGTGGAGTGGTTGGTTTCTTCTTTTCCGGTCATCTCTTATAGTTTTCCGGTGACTGATGTGCAACCTATGTTATGGTGGGCAATATATATTAACTTATATATTATTGATGTTGCAACCAAGAACTTGTCAAAAGTTTCTACCAAACAGTGACGTACGACGCTATGCATTAAATGTGACATTAAATCCCAAGCCCCACTTCATACCGCCTTATTTGACCTGGTAACACTTCTTATTGTGATTAGTACTAGTATACGTACGTACTACAATTATTTTTAGATACATAACTACGATTAAAAGTGTCATTAGAAACAAACAATATATTGGACATGATAAACAAAGTATATATTATAAGATAACTTATGAATAACTAACATATGTATAATAATATAAAACAAAAGTTTTTTTATGATGTAACATAACAGAAGGAAAAATATGTCTTTGAGGAAAACAAAATTTTGGACAATCTACACCAAACCCATATAATCTATTAATTTTAACCAGTATGGGCCGAATATAGTTGGATTTAAATATCGAACAACTAAATGTAATTTGTTGACAAAAAAAAACAAAAAAGAAAATTTAATTTTGAAAAAACCCGAAGAAAAATGTTTCCAATTATCCGTTCGGCATCCGCGACGATGCCTTCTCTCACCTCTGCACCAATCAGCTTCTATATCTTATTTCGTTAATGATTATTTGGTTTGTACGCACTGATGAAGAACTGAGCAGGTGACATGAACTAGGTTTGTTGTTTTCTCATTAACTATTTAATAGTTTATTTTTGACATTTTTTCTATCCAATGGATATTTAGATTTTCAGTTTCAGGAACTTGACAAGCAAGTCCATTAATGATGGACGAAATGGTCCAACTGGAAAGAGAGGTGAGTTTCGTTTTCCTTTTGATGATTTAACATCAATTATATCCCTTTCTAAACTTATTAAAATGAAACTTCATTTTAGATTTAGTTTAATTTTGGATTCATAAAATAACTGTTACGTTTAATTACCATAACTTCCAACCAAGTATGATGGTGTAAAGAACATCAATGGACGGAAAAGATTTTTTTTAGGAGATAAGAAGTGAATCAAGTACTACCAATGTGGAAAGCTTAGGCATTTCAGAAAAGGATTGTCAAGTCAAGCTCAAGGAAATAAATATGGCATAATCAAAAGGTCATACTAAAGACGAAGAATGGGAAAATGCTTTACGGTGGAGGCTGCATCTTCATCCACAACTAAAAATCTTGAAAATGATTGGATTGTGGATTCGGATTGTAGCCATCATATTACTGGAGACGAGAAGCTATTTTCTAGTCTTCAGCGCCATGACGGAAAAGAAGCCATAGTCACTGCTGATAATTCAGTACATCAGGTCGAGAAGGAAGAGACTTGTCATTGAAGGAGATGATGGAAGCCATATCACTCTCAATAATGTATACCATGTCCCTGGAGTAAGGAAGAACCTTCTCATTGTGGTGAATGCAGTAGACTCCGGTAACTACGTTTTATTTGGCCCAAGAGACGTCAAATTCTTGAAGAATATTAAAGAGTTAAAGGCGGATATGGTTAACACGAGATCGCAGGTTAAGGATCTATATATCTTATCTGCGTCCAACTCATATGTGGAGAAGATGAGTACAAACGACAAAGCCTCTATATGGTATGCCCGACTTGGTCATATAAATATGACTAAGCTAAAGGTTATGGTGAATAAGGATTTGGTTAACGGGCTTCCGAAGATGAAGATTCAAGATGAAGGAAATCTTTGCGAGGGCTTTTAATATGGAAAATCACATAGACTTCCATTTGACAACTCCACTTTACGATGCAGTGCTCCATTGAAGAGGATCCATAGTGATTTGATGGGTCCTACAAGAACACCCTCATATTCCGGGTTTCGGTACAAGTTGTTGTTCATTGTTGACTTCTCACGGTACACTTGGATATACTCTGTGAAGGAAAAATCAGAAGTATTCTCTAAGTTTCAAGAATTCAAGGCTACCGTGGAAGGAGAGTTGGGTCGGAGAATCAAGACCTTAAGGATGGATAATGGAGGGGAGTTCATATCCAAGGATTTTCTCTCTTTTTGTCTAAAGCATGAAATAAAGAGAGAGTTTACTTATACGGGTACACCTTAACAAAATGGAGTAGCAGAAAGGAAGATTCGACATCTAACCGAGACGTGCAGAAGCTGGCGTTATGGAAAGGATTTGCCTAAAGCCTTATGGGTGGAAGGCATGAGATGTGAAGCATGCGTCATCAACCGGATGCCACTCAGTCAAAACAATATGAAGTCTCCTTATGAGATGGTTAATGGGAAGAATCCATGTATTCGATTCTCAAAGAACCAAGTTGGAGGCAAAGGCGAAGAAGTGCATCTTTGTTGGCTATGATGAACAAAGAAAATTTTGGAGATGTATGGATCCAGAGACACACATATATGTAATGTCTCGAGATGTTGTTTTTGATGAAGTTTTCTCATTCTATAGGCCACCTTAAGTCTTAGTTGAGCAAGAAGGTGGGAGTTCCTCCAAGGGTGATAAACCAGCTCTGAGTAAGGATGGAGGTCCTGAAGTAAAGATGCAATGTGAAAGGGGGAGCACTAGTCAGCAGGAGGATGGGGAGGAAGATCATGATTCCATGGCTAGGCCTGAAAGGATCATAGTTAAACCTACTCAGTACAAAGATCCAAAGTTTGTTACTACCTTCTCATGCTACTTTGCAACTCCATTAGATGAATATGAGCCAACATCTTATGATGAAGCAAAAGGCGTTGACGAGTGAGAAACCGCAATGAAGGAGGAGATGATGCTTTCATGAAGAACAAAACTTGGGATTTGGTTCCAAAACCCAAGGATGTCCAACCTGTTTCTTGTAAATAGGTGTACCAGATCAAGCGTAAAACAGATGGATGCGTTGATAGATTCAAAGCAAAGTTGGTTGCTCGGGGATTCTCTCAAAAGTATGGAGAAAACAATGATGAGACCTTCAGCCATATAGCCAAGATGACTACGGTACGCTCTCTCTTTTCTTTGGCAGCATGTTTTGGTTGGAAGTTATGGCAATTAGACGTGAAGAATGCTTTTCTGTATGGAGAGCTTGACAAGAATATCTTTCTGGAGCAACCACTTGGTTTCATCTCATGAAAGCAATCTGATTATGTGTATAAGCTGAAGAAGGCCTTGTATGGGTTAAAACAAGCCCCACGAGCCTGATATGGAAATCTTACTCAGTTTCTTCAGTTCTGCAGTTATGTGGCATCAAACTCTGATTCGGGTATATTCTTCAAGAAGAATGGAGGAGTCCACGTGGTAGTTTTCCTTTTTGTGGATGATATGATAATTACCGGGAATGATGATGCAGAAATTGCTTGTTTACAAGAGGATATGTTGATAAGGTTTGAGATGAAGAAGTTAGGAGAGCTCAACAACTTTCTCGGTTTGGAGGTGGAAAGGGTAAATGATGGAATATTCATCAGCCAACAAAGCTATGCAAGAAGAATTGTTGAGAAGTTTGGAGTACATAAAGGAAAGACACAATCTACTCCGATGGAAGTCAACATAAAGCTTAAACGCGATGAAGGCTCCTTGCTACCTGATCCTCGACCTTATCGCTCTCTTGTAGGAAGTCTTTTATACTTAACCATTACAAGACCTGACATTGCTTTTGCGGTAGGTCTTGTAAGTCGGTTTATGCAGGCACCAAGAAAGCCACATCTAGAAGCGGCAAAGAAGATATTGAAGTATGTGAAGACATCTCTTGGCATGGGTCTGGTGTACAAGTACAATGCCAAGGTCTCTTTATGGCTTCACAGATGCTGACTTTGGTGGAGATCTTAATGATCAAAAATCAACTTTAGGCTATGTGTTCCTATGTGGAGACACAAATGTCTCATGGTGCAGTAAGAAGCAAGCAACGGTGTCGTTATCTATAACTGAAGCAGGGTATAAAGCTTCAACTCTAGCAACTTAATAGTGTATATGGTTTCAGAGACTCCTTGAAGATCTGTTTGAGCCAATCAATAAGCCGGTTGCAATTTATAGAAATAATCAAGTGAAATCAAGCTGACCAATAATCTGGTGTTCTATGTGAAGATAACTGTTCTTCCATCTTTTTATTAATACTTAGAGGCTCTTTGTTCTTTTTGAGTTTTTTGGGTATTACGGTCTCAGGCTAGTGTTAAGCACTATTTAGTTTTTTCTTTACAAAATTATCAGTTTTATAAAAATATTATTCTTTTATTATTTATAGTAATAATAGTACTTTAATTTTTTTAAAAAATATTAATTAGTTTTCAAGTTACAGAAAACTGTAGATTATTAAACTAAATGTCAGTTCTATAAAAATGTATAATATCAATGTTAATGGATCAGTTTGAGTTTTGAACTTGGTTTTTAGTTGTGTCAACAAATATAAAATTGATGCTTTGTTTTTTCAACAAATCCATATGATAATATTTTTAGTAATTGTTTTTTTAGAGATATCATGTGACCCCTCTACATCTTTACAGGATCCGCCACTAATAACAATGAACTCGTTGAGAAAGATACAATTTCATCTATGTGAATATGCAGTAATAACAAGAAATTGCCACCTAATGAAGTGATGCACCAACTTCCGATTGGAAACATGTAATACTAATGTCGAGTTACAGTTTGATGTTATAATTCGAGATTTGTAGTAAAATTATATGGTAAAAACAGTAAATTTATGTGGTATGTTTGTTGTAAAAATTTAATTTAATATTTTTATTAAAATAGATGACTCGTAACTTTTTGATGTATAAATTGCAGTATATATTTAAATAATAATAATAATAATGATAATAAATTGAGATGTTATATACCTTTTTCATATTTAAAAGAAGAAAAAAGATTTTTTTTTCTCTGAAATGCGAAAGAATGCGAAAGAAAATGCGATCCGATTACAGTTATCTTTTTTCTCCGGAAAAGAGACAGTTTTACATCTTTTCGACGATGGAGCGGTGACTTCAACGGCAGTTTCGGCCTCATTGTCGAGTATTCTCACGAT